CCTTTTTTAAGATAAGCAATATTAGCAAAGATGGATAGTGGTTAGCAGTGGGATCCAGGACGCGCGTTTCGTTTTATTTGGGACTTGTCAGCTGGATTTACCGGCGTCTCACAGTTGATGTTCACTTTGGGACTCGAACCCAGTTACCGTTCGCTTCAAACTCCATCGGGTTATCCACTTAGCTGCTGAGACGAAATGCGCGTCCTTGATTCCAGTGCTAGCCACTATCCATTTTTGCTTAGAATGCTTGTGAATTAAGGCAATATGGAGGCAATACACATATGCCAATAAGAGTTTGATCAGTTTTAGTCCTAAACATCAATCGGAAGATTCAAGTAAACAATACCAAGTGAAGCAAAATTAGTATGTAATAAAAATTAAACATTAAATTGTATATGAAAATGTATCAGCTCAACTTATTACATTTTGAAATTAGTATATAAACGACATCCAACAGATATGTAAATGTTTTATTAGGCAAGAACAAATGAACCGTGATAACAAACAAAAAAAACCCAGATAGATATGAATTTACGGAAGACGCAATTTCATTAATACAATTAATTTCTAAAATATATTTTATAAGGTTTCAGTGTAATGATTCATAGTATCATGTAAACTACACTTATTACGCTTAGTATTCATTTTATGACATTTACAGAGGTGATATCCCTAAACCTTATAAACCAATTATTTCTCAACTATGCAAATATTACAATAAATCTTAATCCTTTACATTGATCTTAACCGAATAATTAGAGAAAGTTGACTGTGAGTGCTCAATTTGGCATTACGAAAGATTTACAACTAATCGCTGTGCTAAATAATTGGTAATCTCAAGCCAAAACGTTGCATTTTTCACATATTCTCTTCCTTATCTACCGTTTTGATGAAAATGAGGAAAGAATATATTTGAACTCATACATTCGGTATCGGATACATTAAAAAAGGTGTAACACTTGAACTGTTAGAGAATTTTCTCCATTCAAGGTAAGTGATAGATGTTAACTACTGCAAACAACATATATAGAATATAATTTCCAACTAATTACACTTTCAATGTATATTTCATAGAAGTTTATTGTATTATAGGACAAATTCGTGCTGAAAATTCCTGAGAGTAATGAAATCTATAGTTCTGAATAAAACTAATTTCCCAAAGATTTCATGTGTCTTTCTTTGCAGATCTTCACATTTAATCTTAAATTGTATTTGAGAGCAGTAATAATGTGTTGTGTGCTACTGATGTCGATAGATATAAAAGTAGTATGTATCATCAATCGAAGGTGAAATACCTGGCAGGAGAAGGTTAAGAAGATTGAAGAAATTAGACGGAGAACAGTGAATGATTGCTGTGGAAACGAAGGCACAGTGAAGTCTGAGACGATTGAGTGACATTTGCAAAAGGAACGGTCAAGTTTGAGACAATTAATTAACATTTTGTGAATTAAGTATTTATTGTATGATTTGCAGATTTTACTAGGATGTTCTGTAATTTTATACATTTGCTTGCCCTACTTATGTTCTCGTTCACTACACTATTTTATTCAGCTGTCTCTGATGTAGTAAGTTTACGACCATGTCAGTCGAGGTGTTTTTAACTTAAGTTATATGATAAAAAAGATGTGGTTTATCATTTCACCACAGTCGAATAAGACTTCGAAAACATTCTACAGAGAATCTGTGTAAAATTATGTACTCTAACTTCGATGGATAAATATAATGAACTAAGTAAGAATCAGTAAACTCTTGAATAGTTGTATCATCGCTTTGATAAACATTTAAATTGAATAATACAATTCATGAGTCAATTGTAGCTAGACTACCATGGAAAACCTAGAAGCATTGGACGGCCGTTTCGTCCTAGTATGAAACTCGCGAGATTCGGACTCAGGACCTATCAGTTTCACGCAAAATCGCTTAACTATAATATCCACAAAATCCCTCTCTGGTTATAAACGTTTCAATATTTATTCAACACTATCAGAACAAATCATTTTGTTAGATTAGGCACTCACTCACTACCTCACTATCTATTTTGCAACTAAATATCATAATACAAAATTATACAATTGGTAAATGAAGAAATTATGTTGTTTCAATCAAAGTTGATACTGAGCCATCTTTGATTCCAAAATACTGAGAAAAAATGTAACTAAAAACAAAATCATTCAATGACTAGATGTTATTACTTATAAGAACTTTTAGTTTATATGTAAAATCATAATACAAATAGGAAAAATAGTATATACTACTGATACCGGTTAAAATTGTATAACTTCAAGAAAAGCTAAAAAGAAAACATTGGTTATATAACAAATATGTTTGAGTTCCCGCCTTATTTTTTTAAAGATGGAAATGTTATTAATTTCAAAGACAACAGAAATCAGTGTACAATGTGACTGATGTTTTTTACATCGATATCAACTGATATATGAATTGTATTAGAAAGAATCATGAAAAATTATGGTTGAATAACTTGGAATGAATTAGAAAAAGTAATGAATTTTCGTTAAATGACATGGCTCAAAATCGTTTGTAAAGGCGCATGTGCATCTACGCTTTGTGTTCTCCCAAATTCTAATCTCCAGAATACTCCTTGTCTCTTTTTTTCTGTTTCCCAATTCATTTCACTAGATTATACTCCTTGAATAACATCTTCAAACCCTAGTCTTTACGATTATTGCTTATACTCTTACTACCTCTACCACTACGGGATATGAATCAACAACTGCATCTCTGTGCTAATGTGGTATAGCAACTCGAATCGATGTACGTACGTACGAAGTTTGTTACTGACTGACTGAATGGATTTTCTGTAGATTCAAATTTTATGGTTTATAATAGCTGGATTTTGTTAGCCAAACACTAGAAAATCATAAAAAGCTTGATACCTGTTTTGTTTTAATACAGAATTTACTATTAACAGTGTACACTCACAATTCAGTCAAAGGATGAATTCAGAAGTATGAGGACTCGCTACCAGTGTATTATTATTGAGTTTCAAACAAATCTATGGTGTCTTAGGATGTTTAACGATCCTTCAATTCGTATTAATTCATGATGAAAATGGTTTTCAGAATTTGAGCGATTCCTTATGAATCATTCATTCAAATAATATTTCTTTTTCAAATGTACTCACACAATAAACAATTTTTATACTCGCTGAATAAGTTGGTAACTAAATTGACCTAGTAGCTAACGAGATAACCCTTTACTGTTTGAAGCGTGAAGTGATGGGTTTGAGTTTCAACGTGAGAATCAGCTCTCGGATTCAAGTGAATCCAGTTAATGAGTCTCGAGTAGAACGAAACTCTCTGTTGAGGATGTTAGATCCCCAGAACTCACTTGGTAAATACCTTATTTTTGTAATTTTATCTTAAAAATTTGAATCTCTTGTTTTCGCGCTAAAAGCTCTCATTTTCAACTTCACGTCTTATTTCCCACTTGGGAGGATCTTACACGCTATTGGTTAGTATGCTGTTTTGTAACGTTTCCCAAGGACAACTTGTTGCTGTAAATATGTTTGATTTTTGCCTGTTGTAATTGCTCGTGCTTCTGGCTGCTTGCGGAATACGATTCCCCATTTCAAACTTCGACTTCTCTAGTTAGCGGTGCTGGGACGCATTAGAATAACTGGCTTATTGGTCTTTGATCACAGAGTCTTTGTTCCGTTCTCAGACTAGGTGAACTCGTGATCGCTTCAAACACAGCACCCTCTCACTACACTATACTGGTAGCCATATTCTATTTATTTTATAAAAATTGTGACAAAATGGTTATCATTAGGTGATCTACACAAGATACGTATATATCTATGCAGAATGATCACCATTCAGTTTAGAATATTAACAAGGGGATAGTATAAACTCTTAATAGTAATAGTGTAAATTTTTAAAACACCAAAATGATATTGATGTATAACTAATATTGAAAAGCTGCGTAATCTATCCTATTTAATCTGCGTTTTTAATAAATGCATCACATGATTAAAAGTTTGTATCATGCTTATTTGTTGTTTCACATGGTATAGGATACTGTCAACTTTTAAAATAGAATATTTAAATAGTTGAGATCATGAGTCAACTGAAACTAGATCACCATGGAAAACCTGAAAGCACTGAATGTCCGTGACACTTCTCAACAATAAGCAACCACGATCCTGCCTCGCAAGATTCCAACCCAGGACCTATCGGTATCGTGCGTGAACTCTTCAATTGACTCATGATCTCAACTATTAAAATTACTATAATATTCACAAAATCCCTTCTGATAATAGAGTATTTGCAACAACAACGACAACAAAAAAACAAACTAGTCATCATCATAAAATTTGGATTTGTCTAGACGATCCCCTTGACGATAATTTTATTTCAATAATCAATTTCACTATTTTTTTTCATTACATCATCTTAGTAAATATTCATGTATTATATAATCATTCTTTGTAATATGATTCCAAACCTCTATTATCTTTTAAGATTCATGAATAGATTCACTCTTTAAAGGTATATGTTTATCTTGTTCCATCATAGTTTTATGATAATAATAAATAATATAAAACTAGAGATTAGAAAAACATCCACAACTTCAAGGTTAATTTAACTTCAAACGAACAAACAACTAAATAAAAGATTATTGAATATTGAAAAGAGTGTAAAACAGGGTTATTTGTCTGCGAATTGACAAAAAAAGTGATAGTACAGGTATTAAATAAATGGAAAAGTAGAGGAAATGTTAGACGTTTAGAAGCGTATACATACACACACGTACACTCGCAGACACCCACACACGTACATATGAATGTAACACTCACAATTAAAACTAATGTTAAACTATTGAATACGTACACACACACACACACACTCATACTCCTTTCCCCATTTGCTATCATGGCCGACTTACAGAACATATAGTTAATAATTATAAACATTATTATCCTTTTTTTATTTGTATTTTCTTTGCTGATAATTCATTGTACTGCCAGAATTTCCATAAATTGTGTTAGAAACTACTTTGTATTCTGTTATAGTCATGATAGTTATGCAATAAATGAGTGAATGAATAAATTAATTAATAGGTGTTATATATATATATATATATTCATAGTAGAAATAACAATCAATGTATCTTAACAAGGTCTATTTTCGGTAGCATTGATTGATTTTTTGCAAATGAAATCAAACTGTCTTTTCTTTCCTCTTGCTCCATAATTTCATTAATTCATCATTTACATGAGATTACTTGATGATAAAACTGAAAAAATAAATGTTTCCTCGAAATCCTAAATGAACTATCTTTTAAATCCACTGCAAAAATCTGATAGACGGGAACAACCAGTTAGTTCGAATGTGAAACTTTCTCACTTTAAATCTTTTCTCCGTATGGATTACTGTAGTAGTAAATTTGCGAAACTGTGGAGTAATTCGTCGCACTCTATTTGCAAAACAAACTCAGTAGTATTATTTGTTCTATGCATCATTGGTTACATCTACTTTGAAGTTGCCTAGAAATATTTACCGTTATGATTATATCCAATCTCACTAGTGAAATTATAGGGAAATTAAATGTCCGATGAAACTTACTAAGAACTTGCCTTTTTGAAGATATTTTACCTTTACGATTTCCAAAGTTCATTTAATTAATTAAAATAATATCTATCCAAAACAATAGATCATTAAATAACATAGCACTTATATAATGGCAAACCTCTTACATGAATGTTTTCTGCTTTTGTTCTCTGCTCTCTCTCTCTTGGTTTTATTCTCTAGTTGTGGATAACCAAAATTACTCTGTAATAGCACTAAAAATAACCCTATTCATACATCGATAGGATGCACTAATCCAGATACTAAGAATTTATGGTTCCTACCTTCTGCTTTACATTCTTATAATCTTTATGAAAAATCTCCTCCAAAAATTATTTATGAACCACATCATTTCAAACAAATTAAGTTTATATTTCTGTTCTTTATCAATGACAATTTTTTCGGTAACAACCAGTGAATTGGCATGTTTTCTATAGCAATATATAGAACGTAATAATTAATTTAATCCAAAGGTTTAGTAAGCACCACGTTGAGATCTATCCAATTAAAAACCATTGAATATTTAACTTTACAAAGTAAGAAGTCATGCCAAGTGTGGAATTCAGACATAATTTGTATTCTATCCTTGGACCTACCTAAAATTTAGTAGTATTTGTCTAGAATCATGTTATAAATCTAAATATCAAGTACGTTCCTATAAGAAATTCTAAAATATGTAGATTGTATTCGTCATAGATTTATAAGGTCAGGTACTATTGCAAATCAGAAAGAACTTGACAGCTGTTACGTTCTAGCAAGAGACGGTCAAGCGGTGAGTATCATGAAGTTATTTTCATCTTATTATACTGAATGTTCAATCAGTGTTTTCTTACAATCTCTATCATATATAACTAAATAGATAACACAAGTGATTTATTATTAAAAATTATACCGAATGAAACAATCTGGTTTGGATGACTGATTAAGGTTGTTTTCGAATAAGATGATTAAGGCAAATTAAATAAGTCATCTATGATTCATAGAAAAAATTATCTGCAAAGTTTTCAGTGTTCAGTATGTGTGTAGCTTTCAGCATGTTTGACCATACTTTCAATAATCAAGTAAATACTGTCTGTTGGTGTGATCTTCAATACAAATTTCATTTCAAGCCTTATGTTCTATCATATTGGGGTTTTTAATCCGATATTTCCGGCTGCGCCAAGATGACACATTCATAAAGTATTACTTACTTACTTATTTACGCCTGTTACTTCCAATGGAGCATAGGCCGCTGACCAGCATTCTCCAACACACTCTGTCCTTACCCTTCTTTTCTAGTTCCATCCAATTCTTGTTCATTTTTCTCATGTCTATCTCCATTTCTCGGCGTAATGTGTTCTTTGGTCTTCCTCTTTTCCTTTGGCCTTCGTGATTCCATGTCAGGGCTTGTCTTGTGACGCAGTTAGGTGCTTTCCTCAATGTGTGTCCTATCCACTTCCAGCGCTTCTTCCTAATTTCTTCCTCCGCTGGGATCTGTTTTGTCCTCTCCCACAGTACGTTGTTGCTAATAGTGTCCGGCCAACGGATCTGAAGTATTTTGCGTAGACAATTGTTAATAAACACCTGTATTTTCCGGATGATGGATTTCGTAGTTCTCCAGGTTTCTGCCCCATACAGTAGAACTGTCTTGACATTTGTATTGAAAATCCTGACCTTGGTGTTGGTTGACAGTTGTTTTGAGTTCCAGATGTTCTTCAGTTGTAAATATGCTGCTCTTGCTTTGCCGATCCGCGCCTTCACATCTGCATCAGATCCACCGTGTTCATCAATGATGCTGCCCAAATATGTAAAGGTTTTCACATCTTCCAAATCTTCTCCGTCAATTTTGATTGGATTGGTGCATGCTGTGTTGTATCGGAGAATCCTGCTTTTCCCTTTGTGTATATTGAGACCTACTGCTGCTGAGGCTGCTGCCACACTGTTCGTCTTCTCCTGCATCTGTTGTTGCGTTTGGGATAGAAGGGCCAGATCATCTGCGAAGTCTAGATCATCCAACTGCATCTTAGATGTCCATTGTATCCCGCGTTTCCCTTCAGACGTTGACGTCTTCATGATCCAGTCGATCACCAGGAGAAAGAGAAAGGGTGAGAGTAGGCAACCTTGCCTAACACTGGTCTTCACTTCGAACGACTTTGTCAACTGTCCTCCATGCACAATTTTGCAGTGTAATCCATCATATGAGTTCTGTATGATATTGACTATCTTCTGAGGCACGCCGTAGTGTCGAAGAAGTCTCCATAGTGTTGTTCTGTCCACGCTATCAAATGCCTTTTCGTAGTCAATGAAGTTGATGTAGAGTGATGAATTCCATTCAATTGGTTGTTCCACAATGATCCGTAGAGTTGCGATTTGGTCTGTACACGATCTATCCTTACGGAATCCTGCCTGTTGGTCACGAAGTTGGGCGTCTACGCAGTCCTTCATCCTGTTTAACAATACCCTGTTGAAGACTTTTCCCGGTATTGAGAGAAGAGTGATGACCGGCAGTAGCCCCCGGAGGGACTCCAGGCGGAGTTATTCATAAAATATAGTTAAGAATAATTCATGTTGCTTGAACAAACGTACTGAATACTTAAAAAGTTGAAGATAATCTAGGTTGGATTAATTTATTCAGGTGGGACATGAGATATTTAGAGTGAAAATGAGATCTTATTCTGTGATTGGGTCTTATAACTCAGCTGTTAATGAGCCGTATCAAGAACCCGAACCATAATCGTTGTAATCTTATCATGTTCGCATTGGTTAACCCACCATGTTTGCCAGAGTTGCATGTGACATTTTAATGAAATATATCATCTGTTAGAGTTATGTTACCCTCATTTACATTAGACTAAATAAATAAGAGACAATTTGTACTATCTAATAAGTCAAATTTCATTACACTATTGGCAGTAAACAGAGATTAACGTCTTCAAGTTCATTGTTATTTAACTATTAAGTAAACTTACAACATTGTAAATAATCATGGTATCCTTGAGATCCATACATATCCACTTTAGTACTATGATAGAAAATGATTTTATTATTATTATTACTATCATCATTATTATCGAACCACTTGACAAATCAATAATTTTAATAGTTGAATTCATGAGTTGATGTAAGCTAGACCACCATTGAAAATCTGGAAGCAACAGATTATCACGGGCTCACTAGTGTCTACATTCAAGATGAATTTCCTCGAGTTTCAGTGAGAAGTTCTGGCCAGTAGAGTTCAATGGATGAATGGTTGTGCAAGACCATGGATCGATTAAAGTTAGACATTAACACCGTTATATGCCAGCGTTAGCGTGCGAGACTGAAGGTTCTGAGCTCGAGACCCACATGCGGGATCGTGAATGTGCACTTCTGAGGAGTCCCATACTAGGACGAAACGGCCGTCTAGTGCTTCTAGGATTGCAGTGGTGGTTTAGCTTATATCGGCCCATGAATCTTAAAAAAAACCCCATTTTGATAAAAATCAGTAACTGTGCAGTAGTTCCCAAATGAAATAAATTCTTGCACTGACTAAAGATTGCATTCCAATTTTCTTTTATTATCTTTTTTTGACAAGTTGCATTTTCAACAAAATGAGCTAATTACTCGAATTGGCTTTATTCATTTGTTTTAAAAAGTTTAGTTTTTGTTAACATTTAAAACATTCATTTCAATATATATCTTTAGAGTTGTAGCTGAATGAACAAGATTTAAAATAAAGAAATGATATATAAAAGTGGAAACTAATGAATAATAGATGGTATGTTAGCAATGGAATTCAGAACGTCCATTACGTCCTATTTGGAACTCATCATCTCAATGTACCTGCACCCCCTTTGGGAAGATATAGCTGGTATTCATGTATTCATCATATCGCTAATGAATATCTCTAGTTAAGATCATGAGTCAGTTGAAGCTAGACCACCATGGAAAACCTGGAAGCACTGGACGGCCGTTTCGTCCTATTATGGGACTCCTCAGCAGTGTACACCCATGACCTTGCCCCCTGCAAGATTCGAACCCAGGACCTACTGGCTTCGCGCGCGAGCACTTAACCATTAGACCAATGAGGCGGCCGGCATCCAACGGTGTTAATGTCTAACTTCAACTAATCCACGAAATTGAGCGACACATTCACCATTGTCGTCAGTTAGTTACTATCTCACAACAGACCTGGTTGAACTCCACTGGTCACTACTTCTCACTAGAACTCCAGGATATACCTCGTGAAGCCAGTCACTAGTGAGCATATGTTGATTAATATCTGACTCATGATCTTAACCATTGAAATTACTACAATCTCCACAAAACCCATCGAATATCTCTAGATTGACATAGTTATTAAAAGTCAAACAATCCAAAAAATTTGAAAATTTGATTTAACACGTAATCTTAATAAATGAAATCATCAATCTTGAATTTTCGTATGCTACATTATAACTATACAACAGTATAATTGTAGAAAGATTCATTTGAGATTTCTAACAAATCTCAAGTAGGACAAAACGCACGTAATGGATTCTAATGTTAACCCTTATCCATATATATATATATATATATATATATATATATATATATATATACGAGAAGCTAGTATTTAATTTTAGAATTTCACCAATCTCATAATGGTTGTTGGTAAATTCAGTGATGTGACTGATACTTTTATTTGATTGAATCAATGAACAAATAAGATATTAGTTTTCAAAGATTAGATTGGCAGGTTAGTATACTTTCCATTAACATAACCCAAGGCTATCTAAAATACTTTATATACCCTAGATTTTCTGTACATAAATGAACCTTTGGAGTTAAGCGTTTCTTCCATATTTTGCGCGTTTTCTCTCATGTTCAAGTCGCTGTATAGATCTAGCCTGGAGGTTACTAGAAGAGCTTAGGAACCAAATCTAGCACTTAAATAAAAGACTTATCACTAAAAACTTTACACCTTTAAGAAATGTACAAAATTTACTAACACTTTAGCTTTCTTCTCAACTATAAGATGTTAATTTAAAAATGAACTATAATTCTGTTGACCGCTTTTAGAAAACCCGTATTCATGTTTTATTGACTAACCTTTATCTTAAACAATCATATTAAATTATGATTGAATATTATATGAATTGATGTATGTATACATATCAGGACAAGAAGAATGTTAATAATTTTCTTTTCATTCCACATTTCTTACCGGGTAATCGATCAGTCACTAGTTTTTTTGCACAATGGCAAATGATAACTTACAAATACCATAGAAACTAATTGAAACATTGAAATTTTGCACCAAACAGTAAATTATCATTGACTAACTGTAGAATATTCATTACATAATACCTAAGATTTTCATGTTTAGATGTACATTATGAATTATTATATAATATAAAATAAAAGAAACATTATAAATAAATAACTTACCAAAAATATTGCAGCACAAATAAGCAAAAGTTTCATACGATAATCCAAGTCTAAAGGGAAGTCAACACGAAAACTATCATTTTCTTGATCTCGACGACATATTATCCGTCCAATTGATCTATTATGTCCATGTGCATAAATCTTAACATTGACAATATGAAAATTAAAAACATATGAGAAAGTAGTGTGTACTTAATTACTCAGAGATTATTAACTATGAAAAAATCAATTAAACGATCAGCGAGAAAAATGTGGGTCCTTATGTAGCATATAGTTATTAATTGAATTGGAGCTAATCGATAGGAAGCCTTGGATCTAGGTTTCATCCTGTTCAGCCCTCATCAGAAAAGTTTCCCTATAATCTCAAACAGACTGATATTCCCTCATAGATCTATTCCCGCGCCATTCAGCTTTATAACCCGAAACGTCACCACCGAGCCTTTTGCGTAGCTACTGACTTTCTGTAGAACTCAGAGATACTTGTAATTAATATGCCAATGAGCAGTGACCATTTTCCATCTTTTAGTGCCAATCGAATTCTATATGAGTACGAGTCCCTCAAGAACACAGATGTGTCTTACTGTTAAATGCCAGCTGGTGCGAAATATAGGCCCATAATTTTCTCTGGTCTGTCTAATCAACTAAGACCTCAACATGGTGCAGTAAAAGTCTAGTCACTTAGATTAGCGCTCACATAACAACTTGCTCAATAGTAGTCGATTAACACTAGTAAACTAGACAAGCATGACATAAGTCACTACTCAGTAATCGGTTAATTTTAAATAACCAGTATTTTCATCAAACGTTTAGCCTATTTCTACATTAAATCCCATAAAATAAATCATTGATGTTACACTGTGTTAAAGACAAACATCTAAATACTTCTCGGTATTTTTTCTGTACATAATATCATTAGTCATTCTAATGTTTTTCATCAAACTTCTTAAGGTTAATATTTAATATCTAAAGTTTAATTATTGGGTCGATCTAAACTAGACTACCATGGGAAACCTAAGAGCATTGGACGGCCGTTTCGTCCTAGCATCCTAGCATCCACGATCCCGACTCGCGAGATCCGAACCCAGGACCTATCAGTCTCGTGCACAAACGTTTTACCTCTAGAACACTTAACCATCACCCAACAATGTTAATGTCTAACTTTAATCAATCCTATACTAGGATGTAACGGCCGTCCAATGCTACAAATTTTTCCATGCTGGTCTAGATTTCATTGACTCATGAACTTAACTATTACATTAAAGATAATCTCCATAAGTATGTTTCTTGGTATGTTGACTTTCAACAGAATCCAGAACTTGTAATTCATTTCATCGGTATAGTTAATTAAAATGTTAGTGTGAATTTTTTTCTGTTCTCAAAATAAAACTTATTACAATGAAATTTTTTTTTCTTGATTTGATAGTTAAATTAAACTTGAAAAAGTAATGCTGATTGACTTGAATTGATAAAGTTGTATATTTTCAATAAAATTACCACATAACATACTTGATGCTTTTATGTTATGTTAATTTACATTCTATTTTGGTTTGATTGATTAACTATAAGGTTTCATATCATAGAATGATTTTGATTAAATAACTACAAATCTCTGGATAGTTGTTTGATGCTATTATGGAACTTCTCAGCAATATACAACCAAGATCATACTAATAATTAAACGTACAACTTTTAAACCTTATGGCAAACGTTCAACTTTGAAGCCATTGAGTTATTTACTAGGATTATTGGCTACCTAGCCAAAGTCAGCCCATCACGTAAAATTTAAATTCAATAATCTTCACAATATCTTATAATAACAGTAATTAACAAATAATAATTATAATAATCTTAATTATGAAAAGATGGATAGTGGCTAGCAATGGAATCCAAGATGCGCGTTTTGTCCTATTCGGGACTCATCAGCCGGATGTACACATATCTCAGAGTTGATGTTCACTCTGGTACTCAAACCCAGTACAGTTCGCCATCACGTTATCCACTTAGCAGCTGATTTCTGATAGCCACTCGCTTGTGCAATGGGTTGAAATCTAAATTCACTTGTTATTGCCTACTTGAATCTTCTTATTGATGTTCAGGACTGAATTCGAGTTCCAGAGTGACTTTCAACTCTGAGATACAGATACATCCAGCTGATGAGTCTCAAATAACACGAAACGCGCGTTTTCCATTCCACTTCTAACCGCTATCTATGTTTGCTTAGAATGCTTGTGAATTGAAGCAATATCTAGACAATCTTCACAGGATGCACATATACCAATAAGAAACTGATCCATCGCTGTCTTAAACATCAACGGAAAGATTTAAACAAACAATACCAAGTGAATTTAACCTTAGTTATAATATTTTACTAACAATTTCAAGTCGTTTCATTCAATTTCTTAATTTACCATTAATAGTAGTCAATGGAAAATTATCTTACTTTTGTTTCTAATCAAATTCTATCAATTAATCAATATTGATTTTTATAACATCGTAAATTAGATCTTAACGGTAAGTGCCGGTTAGCACAAAATCTATATTTATTGCATCAATTGTTGCATACTTTTAATTACTTAATAAAATCAATTATAACAGCTGTTTATTAATTAACATTTTTACTATTAAACTAAGAAGAAAAAATCAACTACCTAGTTGATTGATCGAATATTATTATTCATAGATTTTGATGAAAACTGTTTTCATTTTTGTATATCAGTCTAGACATGTTATAAAATCAATTATCAGAATGAGTTTTGTGGAGATTTTAGGAAATTTCACAGGTTGAAATCATGAGTCAGTTGAAGCTAGACCACCATGGAAAACCTGGAAGCACTGGACGGCCGTTTCGTCCTATTGTGGGACTCCTCAGCAGCGCGCATCCACGAACCCGCCCCCGCGGGATTCGAACCCAGGACCTACTGGCTTCGCGCGCGAGTGACTGACTTCAGGAGAACCTCCTGGAGTTCTAGTGAGAAGCCGTCACCAGTGGAGTTCAACCAGGTCTGTTGTGAGATATCAGCTCACTGAAGAAAATGGCGTTCGGTGGCGCAACTTCGTGGATTGGTTGAAGTTAGACATTAACACCGTTGGATGCTGTCCATCTCAGTGGTCTAATGGTTACGTGCTCGCGTGCGAAGCCAGTAGGTCCTGGGTTCGAATCTTGCAGGGGGCAAGGTCGTGGGTGCACACTGCTGAGGAGTCCCACAATAGGACGAAACGGCCGTCCAGTGCTTCCAGGTTTTCCATGGTGGTCTAGCTTCAACTGACTCATGATTTCAACCTGTGAAATTTCCTAAAATCTCCACAAAACTCATTCTGATGATAAAATCAATGGTTAAAAGATTATTCAAGGTTGAAAACGTTGTACTATTTAAGTTATAAAATGTCTAGATAGCATTGTTGTTCCTCTAGAACGAATCATCAGTATGAGATTATGAAGATTGTTAACTTTTTGATTGATATCATGAATCGATCAATGTTAGACCATCATGGAAAAACTAAAAGCACTGGATAGATTGGTTGAAGTTAGACGGTAACACCGTTGGAGGTTAAAGGTTAAATGAGTGCGCGCGAAATAAAAGGTTCTGGGTCCGAGTCCCCTTGGTATGGGACCGTGGATGCGCACTGCTGAGGAGTCTCAAGCTAGGATGAAACAGCCGTCCAATGTTTCCAGGTTTATTATAGTGACCTAACATTGATCTATTCATGACCTCAATCTAAAATTAATCAATAGTATCTCACCATTCCTATGTTAAGAAATAATAAATATCATCAAATGGTTGGGGATTTTTTGTTGATCATTGTAAGTGTAAAACGTATCTATCGTAAGTTATTAAATAACGTTTTCATTTTGTTCATTAATTATGTATTTGTATTTAAATATTACAAAGATTAGGCATCTTTACAAAATTACAAGACTAATAAAAACATGGCATTTAAGTTGAACCGTAAAAAGAAAAATACGTTAATATCATCCTACCAACCTGTACATAACGTTTACAGTAGGTGATTGTTTACTTTTATATAGTGAGCAGTATGTTGTTGTTTTTCCGTACTGATCAAATTCTTTCAAGCAAGTTGAAATTCACCTACTAATCTTAATGACACCATTTTCGGAAGTTTTATTTACAGTATTAGATAATTGTGTACAATTGATAGAAAACCCTGATTTACCAGCGTTTCATAATAGTTGACGTATTTCTCTTGGTATTTGAATCAGCATCATCGAATGGGATAACCAGAAATTTCACTGAATATCAGTTCGCAGAAGACTGAAAACATATCATTTTAACAAATAAAACTCACTTCTAGAGCTTCTTGCCGAATGTTCCAGATAATCTAACACATTATCATCAACATGAATTTTAGCAGTGTCGTGTTTTTGATGAATTGATAACTGAGTGGTAACCATTATCTAGTTTGTCTAGTCCTTTAAAAGCAATCAGATTCTATTGGGCGAGTTGTAATATTGACACTAGTCTCAACATAGTGCACGCAATGTCGAGTCACCTAGACTGGTGGCCACATTGCAACCTGGTCGATAAGATTCGATCTGCACTAAGGAGGACCCGACATACATGACATTGATCACCACCCAGTGATCAATGAATAGTGGGAAAACAAAGTGAAGGGGATTTACTCTCTAATATGTGGTAAAATTAAACTTGATATTCGTCAAATCTACGAAGAAACAACCTTTTTCTGGGTAAAAATAAGGGCAATACTCTAATTTATAGACGGGACAATCAGAAGCGTTTAAGGGATTTCGAGGTCACAGCGCCGATTTCAGTACCTGATGCTCACGTACGACCAGTTTACAGCGGATTTTAAAGATGACGTGATTATTGAGCAACTTCAACAGATGGAACTACTAAGAAGTTCCTTTATTTGTGACTGTGGTAATCAAATGACTGCATTACCGTGTTCAGAGTATTGTGATGACATTGTATTTCGATTTTCTTCACGTTGGAGAAAGAAGTCTGCTCGAACGGGTACTTTCTTCGCTCGATCGCGATTGAGACTGAAACAAATCATGATGATTGTCGCGAATTGGATAATAAAAGCACCAGTAACACTGGTTTCAGCATTTGGAGACGTTACTGAGACTTCAGCTGTGCAGTGGTATGAGTATTGCAGGGGTATATGTGCGATTACAATGATACGTTTACACGGTCGTTCGGAGGAGTTGGGAGTATTTTTAAAATAGATAAAACAGTAGTACGAAAGCGAAAATATAACTTGGGACGTCATATTAAGGAAGACTGGATAAGTAGCACCTCCGTAAATATACCTCACATGTACTTGGAATTTATGACAGATCAACGCAAAAGGGATATTTTCAAGGGGTCAGAAACCGGCAAGCAACCACAATAATACCAATTATACAGGAACACGCGCAGCCGAGCACTACGATACATACAGATGATTGAAGAACGTATAGATGCCTACATAGACTTGGGTATGTGCATCATGTCGTTGTGTACAAGCGCCATTTTGTCGACCCTACCACAAGAGTTCACACTAATAATATTGAGGCTATGTGGTCCAAGCTAAAGAAGTCTTAAGACCCTATCACGGCTCCAGAGGTCGACTATTATGGAGCCATATGGATGAGTTCCTCTACCGTATGCACTACGATTTTAGAACCTCTGAACCTCTTTCAAACCTTAATAAGTTTTTGAATCATGTAAAAGAAGAATATCCACTTTAATTTTTTAGTTTTTTATAATGCTTTTACTTCATACTAGCTGTCTTCTGGTTGGCTAATAATTATCAAGGTCACTTAATATTCGTTCAAAGGTCGTCTATAAATAGAGTCTCGCCGAGGATATACATTCTGGTTGTAAATATGTACACTGATTAATAAGTTAGTAGCTAGTAACCTATCAGTCTAGTGTTTAGCACACAGTGCTGATTAAATTCAATTGAGAATATTAGAATGTGATCAGTAATATATGATTACATCATATGTAAACTATAAATTTATACATTTCAGTTTTAGTCACATAGTTTGTATAATGGTTAGTGATACTAATCAGGTGTTAAAACCGATATAGGAGAAGGAGGAGTAGCATATGTACCTAATATTTATGAGTTAAAAGTCAAACCATTTGATCACTAGTCCATTACCATTATCAACATCGTGCAACACCTTGATGTTATGTGATTTTATGAGAATAATAAGAAGACATGTTTGACCTAGATTTCATGTAAGTCAGAAGTTGATCAGTAAAGCATACATGAAAGATTTAGAGAACTAGTGATTGCTGAAATTTCAATTTAAACGTCACTTATAATGGTATCAGTTACAAATATATATACATATATGATTCGTTCCGGTATAAATATCAGTTAAAGGATTTCAAATCATTTGAATGAAAAACACACTTAATAATGTATGTAAACACCTTCGTAAAGAGGACACACCAAAGCTACATACCGAAATGTGACACCATTTTAACAGTTTTAGCTACAATTAGTTTGATTTACGATAATAACTTAGTGTGCTAAAATATGTAATTCAATAAAGAAAAACAAGTACGTTAAGAACTAGCCATTCACATGGTGCGGAAAACAATTTTAAATGAATGTGAATCTTGTAGCGCTATGCGAGCCCACATAGCTTATTCTAGCTTACGGACAGGCTAATTCATTCATTCTTCTTGAGTCACATTTTGACCTTGTCAATTATTCGATCGTCAACCTTGATTGTTTTTATGTAAGAGTATGTATGTGCATTTCTTATCTTACTCATCGCATGACTGTAACTTATATTTGTCTGACTATAAATATCGATTCACTCTTGGTCAAATCGAGTTGGCTTACATGCTTTCTCCACCTCGCGTCATTTCGCTTAGCTCTATTTCCTTCGCTTCTCCGATCTTCTGTCTGGATCAACGATTGTACAAAATGTATGTATTCGAAATTTATTCTCGTAGTTGACTTATTTAATACCATTATTCGCTAACGCGAGTTAATTCGGTGATTATGTACGAGATTTGGCGACATGTAAATATTTCAATAACAAGCCGTAAACGATCCAAATGGAGTCAGATTTAGAGCCACTAAAATCTAAAGTATTCCGATCAAATTATAAGTATTAGGTTAACACCACGTACCATTATAAGCAAAGATGGATAGTGGCTAGCAGTGGAATCCAAGACGCGCGTTTCGTCCTGTTTGGGACTCGTCAGCTGGATGTACCTGCATCTCAGAGTTGATGTTCACTCTGGGACTCGAACTCAGTACCGTTCGCTTCAAACGCCATCGCGTTATCCACTTAGCTACTGAGTCATGATAGCCATTTGCTTGTGCAATGGGTTGAAGTTTAATTCACTTGATATTGTTTTACTTGAATCTTCCCATTGATGTTTTTGGACTGAAATTGATCAGCAAGTGGCTATCAGGACTCAGTAGCTAAGTGGATAACGCGATGGCGTTTGAAGCGAACGCTACTGAGTTCGAGTCCCAGAGTGAACATCAACTCTGAGATGCAGGTACATCCAGCTGACGAGTCCCAAACAGGACGAAACGCGCGTCCTGGATTCCACTGCTAGCCACTATCCATCTTTGCTTATAATGCTTGTAAATTAAGGCAATATCGAGGCAAACGCACAGTATGCACATATGCCAATAAGAGACTGATCAATTTCAGTCCAAAAACATCAATGGGAAGATTCAAGTAAAACAATATCAAGTGAATTATACCACGTACCATTGTTTGTAAACGGTTATTTATTTTTAATTCATTATCATTTTTCATTATGGTGATGGATTCCCGTCAAAAATGAGAATATTTGGTTTAATTGTATGATATTTTATTCATCGTAGATCACACTCATTTCAAGAGAAACTTCATTTTCAAAAGATTCGACGAGACTATAAATTATGGACGAACCAATCACAAACGTTTGGAGGATTTCAAGGTCACAATACCAGTTTCAGTACCTGATGCTCACGTACGATCGGTTCACAGTGGATTTTAGAGGAAACGTGATAATTGAGCGATTACAGTAAATGGGACTACTAAGAACTTCTTTTATTTGTGATTATGGTAATCAAATGACTTGTGAACTTTGTGCAGACTACCGTGATGATGTAGTCTTTCGATGTAATATGTGTTGAAGGAAGAAGTCTGCTAGGATAGAATTTTTCGCGCAATCCAAATTGAGAATAAGACAAATCATGACAATTGTTACGAACTTGATAATAAAAGCACCAGTAACAATGGCTTCAGCCGGGTATTACACTATATGCGCACGACTGCAGAGCGCACAGATGCTTTCATAGACTTGGTTATGTGCATCGTGTCGTTATCCTTAAACAACATTTTGTGAACACAAGGACAGGAGTGCAAACAAACAATATTGAAGCTATGTGGTCGAGACTGAAAGAGTTTTTGCTACCTTATCACAGCTCCAGAGGCCTACTAGTATGGAGTCATATGGATGATTTCCTGTACCGTATGCATTACTATTTCAAGACCTCTGAACCTCTTTCTAACCTTGACAAGTTTTTGAACTATGTAAAAGAAGTGTATCCGGTTTTATTCTTTGGTTTTCTATAATATTTTATATTGACTTCACTAACTAGATCAACAGTGAATACCAGGTAGCACTGGATAGTCGCTTCATACTGATATGGGATTCCTCAGAAGTGAGCGTCCACGACCCCATAAGCAGAAATCAAATTTAGAATTTTCGGTGTTGCATGTGAATGATTATCCTCTAAACTACTGAAACGGCATCCAATGGTGTCCATGTCTAACTTCAAAAAATTTACGATATTGCACAATCATCTTCTATTGTCCGAAGCAGATAAGTGTCTTATACTGAACATGGTTCAACTCCGACCATTATGGCATCTCAGCACAATTATAAGAGCTTTATCTTGAAACTAGTTACTCTTGAACATATGATTGTCATTAATATTAAAGGATTTTTGGATGTTGTAGAATTTTCATAGTTCTTAAATTACGTGATGAAGTTAGCTAAACACCCACTTAAAACCTGAAAGCATGATTTTCACTTTTATTAGTCTGTTTTTACTAAAAACCATAAGTTCAATTTACGATAATGTGATGATTATATCAAGTATTTGCAAGTTAATTATTCACGTAATAGTAATCTTTATGAACTTATACTCACCTTAAAAATAAGATCAAAACAACAGGTATAAGAAAACCAAGGACCTTTTATATCTAAATTTATATTATCATTCCAATCTTTCAGGTAAAATGTATGACCGAATCGTCCATAATTTTGAACAATACTACCCATTGGTTCACCTACTGGAGCTTCAACTTTCATTTCCTTAATTAAAACACATATATATAAATGAATGATATCAGTAGAAAATATAAACACTGTAAATAAAACCAAAAAACGAAACATAATTAACAAAATTAAACTATGAGTGAATGTTCATTAAAATTAAACAGAAACAAGAACATACATAGCAACAGATATACTTAGAAAGTGATTTTAAATAAATATATATATATATATATGCTAAGAACCATAAGCAAATAAGTACATATGCTTAAATTATTTGAGTTTTTGAAAGCAGTAGTGTGGTAAGTGCTACTTATATCGACATAAGTAGTATATGATGTTAGTCGTCAGCAGAAGGTCTGGCAGCAGAGAGACAAGAGAATCAAACAGTAAAGAATAGAAACAGGATGTAATTTGTGTTAAAATGCGGGAACAATGAAGTCTGAGTCATTTTGAGACAATTGGTGGACATTTTGCAAATTAAGCATTTACTTTAAGATTGTTAGATTTTATTAACAAGTCCTGTAATTTTGTGTTAAGCACATTCGATTGTCCCCCACTCGTGTTCTTGTTCACAACAGTGATAAAGTATATGCAACTAGAATTGAGACATATTCGCAACAATATATATATATATATATATATATATAAATGTAGGGAACTATTTTAAATTGTAACCAGTAATGGAATGCATGAGTGTTTCTTGAAGTTCATCAGCTGAATGTTCCTTTATTCTAATGCTGATTGACATAACAAGATCTCAGATTAGTGCTTGTAATTTCAAATAGAGTAAACTTCCAGGCTACCGAGTCATTTTAGTGATTGTCTTGCTTCAAACAAAAATAAATGATGAGCATAAGCCTTAGTGCTAGCTCTGATGTAGATACAGGTTTTATGGAAAAATTTGTTCAGCAAGAAGATTTTTTACGGGGTAATTTTTTAATTCACAAAGAGTAATTAATTTGAATAAATGCTTGTCAAACCTTAGTCATAGTTGATTTTTTAGACAGTTTAAAGTTAGGTTACCAATCTGTAGGTAAGTTATACCACTAAAACCAAAAGACTGCCAGTTTTTTCCATTATAACAGTTTATAAGTTTCGAAACATTAAAGGTTTTAACAAAACTCCGGTAATTATGATTTTTTCTGATGAAAACAGCTGATTTATGGATGGGACTCTGATATCGACTGAATACGTGATTGAGTCATAAATACGTTTGATCATCCAATGACCTGATAAACTTCACTATAGTAGTGGATTCTGGATAACATGTGATCACCTGACTCTTATACGGGGTAATTTTTCCCCACCAAAGTTCCTAGCTGGTAATAAAACAATTCAGCTATGAGAAAGAAAACTACAGAAACATCGTTTTGCACTCTTAAGTAAAACCTTCTATTAGATATTCACTGATTATAGTAATGTGGATGTCAACATCTCTTCGTGATAACAATAATGAGATTCGTGCAAAATGTTGGCAAATTAACCAATATTCCAATGAAAGTATTTTTGTCCTTGGAATGAGTTGAAAACTTGTTAAGGTGAAAAAATTCTATCTTCAGGAACTTTTAGATTGATCATTTCTAATCAATCATTCCACTATAACTTTAATAGGCAGGCAAGCTATCTAGCTTTTTAGTATTATCAAAACGGTTCATACTGTTTAAGTTGCATTACTGTAGTTGTCTAGTGAAATCGAGCTATAGATCAATTTGTGGCTTTAAAATTGATTTCAATCTGTCTATTTAGTTTAGTTAAAACTTTACCTACCCATGAACTCATTTTCATTTATCAACCATACGTCAAACTCTTCATGAAATTCTAAGTGTATAAAAACATGTTTGGCAGACCTAATATAATAATCCATATTTTTATTTAGATACATAATTCAAACCATTTACGACCACTAGTTATGTCTCAGGTGAAAAATTATTTTATGAAATGGTATAAAACTACATTCAATCGTTTGGGTATAGAAAATGATTTAATTAAGGTTAAGAAAAGTAGGGCGTGGAATTACTAAGCAACAAAATACCGTATCTTAAAATTTTAAAACAAAATGGTGTATTCTAACTTGTTTTGCAGACGATTTATCAACTTACATAAGGACAACAAAAACATACAACTGCTGAACACTTCAATGGCCGTTGGAGATGCATAACAAGTTTTCCGTTCACATTTCGCACTTCCATATCGAATGCTCTGTGAGATCCACACCAAAATCTTTGTGCAAAGCTAGACTTTTCAACAAATTTTAAAAGAAGTTCAGAAGTATCTAGCAGGGCTTCATAAACTACTGCATCATGTAACTTTGAACCTGGAAAAAACAAATAAAATTTCTATATTTTCATAAATGTTATCTAACAATGAGCCTAGAATATAAATCACAATATGGTGTTCTCACTATAACATCGTATAAATCACTAGATAATCTGTATAATTATTGGATAACAAACTCCTAAAGCCTTACAATAAAAACGTCTCCAACTACGACCAACGTTGTCTTTATGAGTTTTTCAGTGTATAACTAAAATACTGTTTGATATTAAAAATGTTTAGCTGAAAAACAGAGTTTAACCAACTAGTGCGTTGTTTATAAAATCGCTTTCATTATATGTTTACAATCAATAACATTATACAATATTTCACTTGTAAAGTCACGAACAAAATAAATTTTCCAGACTCTTCTCGAGTCAGGCCAAGAAAATAATTTAGTTGTGGGAAAGATTACTACCTTCCAGTTTAATATTTAAAGACCTTTAGCGACTAAACTCATTTTATAGAATTATACGGTAAAGCAACACAAAAATGTAATCTATGTTCACGAAATTTGTCAGTAATGCTCACATGTATACTTTCGCTTACAGCACAAACGTGCTTACATCAATCGAAGCCTTAAAATTGTACTTATTTTATGAAGTTTTAACTTTCAATTTTGTTTTGATAATGGGATCCATCCGGAAAATACATCTCCTAATATGATGTCTTTTAACAATCCAAAGACAAAAGTGCTGCCTGGAAGCTTCAAATATACGAAAAAATCTACAAAACAAACTACATTTTAATAAATTATTTCTTAACTATTGATAATAATTTAACAAATGAATACGATGTGAACCTTTTATTCAATTAGCACTACTAATTTTACTCATGATTACTGGCCGACATTATTTTAAGCCACTGTAACTGACCATTTATAAGACCATATTCGAAAGGCTTTAAGAGAGCTGGAAGGAAAACTTCGTATGTATAACATCTTATCCACCGTTCACCTCATAAACACACTTCGTGAGCCTTTGATTTGAACTCAGCAAGAGTGAATTCAAAATACTTATTATTTTTTAAAACAATATAAACTAAGCCTGCTTTTAAAATAGTGGTATTAGTAGCAGTAATAAAAGACGGAACGCATATTGTTTCACTTAGCTGCCAACGCATTGATCAAGATAAAAAATAATCTCAAGTTCTTCCATCTGCTGTTTATTCAACCTTGATGATTATTGTTTAGTGGTACATCAGGGAGATAATATCTTTCTCTGACATACAAAGTCTGCACTACAAATATCAGTGTCCCTGGCTATCTGAAGGACTAAAAAAATCTATTAAAAGCTCAACCCTCGAAAACCTAGTTAATTTTTGGCACTCCAATTTATTAGAATCATCCTTCAAAATTGTTAGTTTAGTGATAAAAATAAGTTTAAAAAAATACGAATGAAAAAGGAATGTACGTTAGAATTTATAGCTTACCACCAATTCAAACCTGACCTTTGTTTCCAAAACCAGTATTTTTGCTTTCTGATTTCATTGCGGTCTTGATCTAGTTGCCTGTCCTCCACAATCTATCGCTTTTCCTCTACTCCAAACATATTTGTTCCCCTATTACCTACATTTTGCAACTAATATTTAGCCACCATTACAAGTTTTAATTATTTTGTTCTTGATATTCATCAAGTAGATAAACATTTTCACCCTAACATTTTTTATCAGCTGTTAGGTCACCGTCTAGTTCGTCTTTGTTGTCTGAATTTTGAAACTATTTACGGCATGATAACACTTCAGTTTTGTTAAGCTATTCAACACCGTTCTGTGAAGTTATAAACTAATATTTTTAGCAGACATATTAATCGTTAACACGATCGTGCACTTTATGTAATTCTAAATGCTGAAAATAAACTTTTGTTTGCTGGACTGACCCTGCTCTTCCTCAAAGTTTAAATTTTGACAATGAAGGTTCAGTAAAATATTAAAGGATCATCAAACACAATTCAGTTCTTAGTTACACATGATAAATATAACGGCATTTTTCATCACTAAATAGGCCAAATTTAATTTTACACACCCAGCTTTCGAACAAATAAATATAACTTGTATCTGTCACATTTAATGATCAAAAAGTAGGGTGCTAACAAAAGCCCAATGCTCCTAAGTATCAAGTTCTTTAAATTGACAAACATGTAAAATTTATGGTGCGAATTGAGTTTATTTAGGGCTTATTCATACTTATGGGGTGAAATTCATATGAACTAATTGAATCTTCCACTAAACGTTTTTGGCAAAAACAACATATGAAACTCGACCATATTAATACAAATACCTATTTATAAAGAAATCCTTCACGTTGATTGGATGACTTATTTAGTATACAGTAAAACCGAAGAACCATGTACCTATTTATATTCGATAATTTTGTTGTTTGATTATATTTTCCTTGAAAAAGCTTGGACCAGATTGCCAGACGAAAGGTTGGATTTACTTAAAATTCATTCGCTGAGATTTTACAAATATATTCTTCTTTTTAATGTCTCAAATTAACTCGGCGCCCAAATATTGTGAAACTATTCGTTCTAATTTAGACGAAAGTTCTTATTTAGAAACTCGACCAGTTTAAAAATACACTAACGCTGGTTGAAATAGTAGATAGTTTGTCCGAAACACAGTAAGCCGTGAACGAAGTCTGTAAAGCTTCCTATGGGATTCAACAGACCTGTACATATTCATACCACTGATAATTGTCTGTAACATAATCAATTTGCAGTGGCAGTGCAGACTCAACAATATTACGAATTGTTATTCTAAAGAGATAAAGTAAGGTTCAGATCATTGAACCCTCGGTTTTTCAGTTTTAAAAACATGGCAGCTGATAGTGTTTTTAAACTGAAAAAAATTTTGAATTATGAATTTAAGTACATCTTAATAAATTCGGAAATATTTGCAACGTATTACAGAACAAAACATGCTATGAATTCGAATCTTTTCACCTTATTTCACATAACTTCCTTATTTGAAGTTCCAGTAGCAAACAAATGCTTTGTGATTACGAAATGTAATAAGTTGTAAAGACCTTTCATCACAATTACATCTGTACTTTATTAGAAAAAGAGTGAAATTTTTATCACTAAATAAAATACCAACTAACTTCTGAAGGAAACAACCAAAATAAACGTCCTCATCAGATACTTCACAGAACTTTGAAAGAAAATTTTTACTGTAAAGACAATAGCAATTCAATTCAATTACACTTAATATGAAGTAGTTAAAAATAACTCGATAAACACTGATATGAAAACTTAAGCCAGAGTGAAGAGTTGCCGAAAGAGTAACACATTTATTTAAATATACTTATTTCGCATTAAACGACTCTTTTGCTACACTGTATGTGCATTTAAGGATCTGTGCTTTGTTTTGTTGAATATAAACTATTAATACAACTTACTTTGGTTCTTTTTTATTTGCTTCACAGTGACCCTGTCAACCTCCAAAAGCCTGTGAAGCCCTTCAAGCGGTTCTACATATTCTGAATGCCGATATAAAACTTATATTTATTTACCAGACAGAAACCACTTCTGCATTTCAAAAATGTGTCTACAATAACTTCAAGGTCAATTGTTATGAAATTAGCCTGGAACAAAAATAAATGATAATTTTAATATACATTAAACACCAGGTCAGAGAGGTACATCACTTTCATGAAGGCTGAAATCGAATTTCGATTTGTTAAATTAAGTCTTTCGATACACATAGATTTTGCAAACCTATCAATCGGTAAAAGGTTTGTAGTGACTCACATTTATCACGAGAACACGACTGGTTTAATAAAAACATTTATTATTATAACCAACTGTACTAGTGTTTGTTTTAACGTGCTTTTGTTTGACTGTGCTAATGACAGCTATTTTGTGCTTCCATTCTTATACTCGCACTTTTGATTGTGACTTCGCGCGAATTCGGTTACGTTCTGTAACCAAGCTTGTATCCTGGCACGATCTCGGTATCCTTTCGATGCCACGAGAGCGCCAGCAAATATAACTCGACTTGGTCCATTAACTGCCTTCTGATATTTGGCTTCTCGGAGATTTTATGGGTTTCTTTGGTTACGTCCAACCTTCGCCTTCTGATTTATTTGGCACGTGTTTCTTGGTAGCGGTGTTCATAGTTAACCTCAACTCGACACCACGCTACAGCTTCATTCCTAACAAGAACAATCACGGCTAGAAGCTGACCTGAAGAGATAAGAACATGAGTTAACGCAGAAAAAGACCCGAATAACAATACAAACAGACAGTTTGAAGAAACATCCAGTGTTCTAATACAGTCCAGAATGTACTTGACAATCCCACCGTACTCATTTTTTTTCAAGAAATTCGTGACCTACAAAACCTTACTTTGAACCATCGCCACTAATCCCAGTAATTCTCCCTATGGTCACTGCACGGCACCGAATAAACTGTGTTTAATTTTTGGCCTCTTCTTTAGGCACATGCTATCTATGTGCACGCACCCCAACACATTATGATCGTAGCGGCAAATAAATCCCCAAAATAAATAGCCCCACGTGTCTTCCACATTGACTTTGGACCCATTAGTTTCACCAGACACACGCTAGCTGAAGGCGCACCAAATCAAAGGTGGCTACACCGTGCTACATATCCTCTGCAACTACCAGCCAGCTCAGACCAAACGCTTCTCACCATATCAATAGCTTCCCAATTATACCTCCGACCTTCCTCATTTCTCACTTCTGATTTGACTAAGTTGGTATACTCGAACGTTCTGAAATAAAGCTATTGACGATCGCATGGCTCACCCAGGGAAAGGATTTTACGCATTAAAATCATCCAAGATTACTTCGTGTGACACTTAATAACACTGACGACTTAGTGAATGTGTTACTGGTTAGTCATTTACTGAAATTATGTGGGAAGGAAAAAATACTGCCCGATTTACTGTATTCTGAGTGCAATCTCATCAGAAATATTCCAAAGGAATCTCGCGCGGAAGAAATATTATTGTACAAGGTGTACCAGAAAACACGGACACTGACCACTCAGATTCAGATATTCGGGAACGGAATTTTGTCGGACAGTACTTGAAGCACAAAAACATTTCGACACAACAAATGGCTAGACTAGCCAAGAAGGACAGGGATTCTAGACCTCTGCTGATGAAGATTACCTTCCCATTCTCCCATTTGGCGGCTGCAACTCTCGAAGAATTTCATGTCAAAAGACGCCGGTTGCTAACCGCAACCCATATACATCCGGATAGACCACACGATGCCAGGATCAAGCACGAAAGCAAGTTGAAGCTCAATATTTCACTTACGAAATGTCTAGAGCATAAAAAATTCAGAAATCACAGGGGCTGTCAACTCGGAAAACCCTGTGTATGTATGTTACATGTCCTTTCACATAAGGCTCATGCATATAAACAGGACGGAAAAGCTCATGCCTCTCTAATTCAAGGCCACGATTTTCCGAATAAAATGGATGAGATACCTAATCTCAGCAATGATAATAATGTTCATCTGGTAGGAATATGCGAAACTTGGATATCTTCTCAGTTTACGGACCAGGAGCTAGCAATACCCAGGATGTCTTTGTTTCGCAATGACAGAAAAACAGGAATTAGGGATGGAGTACCCTTATATTTACGATTCTGCCTTGAGGTGAATCAAGTGCATGACCAAGAGTTTTTTGATCTTGGTGAATCGTATGATGCCTAGTAAGATTGCCTACCACCTTGAGGTGTCTAGTTAGAGTCATCTACAAGAAGCTCACTGCCGACCTCGAGTACGACAATCGTATGCTGGAAGGATTATCCGCTCTACTCTTCTCGAATTCACTCATGTTCTGATTCTAGAGGAATTCAATCTTCCCAAAGTCCATATTGCGTAACATACGTACACTGAAGATGAAAACTCTGTAACAGCTCAGGTTGGTTGGTTAAGAGTTGACCCCAAACAACCAAGCATATGCTAAAACAGTATTGTTCAAGTATTCATTCACTTCCTTATTTTTTATAAGCGTTATATTCCCTATTACCTTATATTGAATGTTGAGAGCCTTTGTTTGTCTGAACAGATAATCACACACTCCACTGTGACTGCGCGAAGATCGAAATAAAGACCTATTCACTACTTCTCTGGTTTCTTCTATCAATAGCACAAGGGTTACCTTAAGGCACGAAAACTCTACTGAAGCTCGATTAATCTACCCAATTGAAGACCTGAAATTATTCGAAAATGTCAAGTCGCCAACTCGTTGGAAAAACGGCCAGATACCGTCGCACTTAGACTGGGTATTTACAAACGATTCTCAATCCTAGCTAACCTGGGGAAAACCGATCACGCCGTCATAGCTTTTAGTTTTATCAGTCATCTAAAACCTCACTCTTCGTTTGCTAATCCGGTAAAGCCACTTCTGGGTGGAATACAAACGATATGGTAGCAGCAGCGCATACGTGCAATTCAAACAAATAAGGAATATATACACAAAGGCAATGAGAAAAACGGACTTCAGTGCCAAATGAAGCTTGTCGACGAACTTGTCTTCAATCCGAAAAGCTTATTCTGTCGTGCAGCCTCTCCTCAACAAGACGAAACAGGAGTTCCTAAACAGCTAGTTCCTAATGGCTCGATCAATAACGACGGTGAGGTCGGTAATCTTCTGGCTGAACAGTACTCTCGAACATTCAACTGACCCACACTAACCATATTAGTGAAAGCCTCATCTTCAACTCCACAGAACTTACAGGACTAAACCTGAGCGCTGACTTGATGTAAATGAAACCACAGCACCTGAAAAGACACGTCTCCTGGTTCAGATATGGTCCATTCTGCCATACTGAAGGAAGCAGTTTCAATCTTGGCAACATCGCTTAGCGTGCTGTTCCCACATTCGCTAAGCCGAAATACGTTACCGGAAACTTGGAAGCTGGATCACATCACACCAATTTTCAAAGGAGGTCCACGCGGCAGACCTTCAGGGTGCCGACCGGTAGAACTTTTTTCACCCTTAAAAATTATGAAGTCCATGATATGTGATGGTATACACGACTGTTTATTACCCATAAACTTTTTTCACCCCCAACAGCACAGTTTCAGGATAGGTCACTCTTGTATAAAAAACCTGCTGACTGAGGTGGACAGAAGGACAACCATCCCTGATCACAAGGGGAAGGTTAACGTCATTCACCTTGACTTACCAAATGCTTTTGATAGGGTCAGTCATATATGTTTTATTAATAAGTTCAAACGATTAGGTATCAAATCGACTTTAATCCATTGCTTCAATTCATATCTAAAAAACGACACTCTAAGGTTAGGGTTAAGGTCATTTTTTCTCAGGGTATGTATTGTCCTAGTGGGGTCTTTCAGGGTTCTGCACTACGAACTCTTCTTTCTTTGATCTATATAAACCATCATCTTCAGCAAGTATAATCTGATTTATCCCTTTTCGCTGATGTTGTGAAACTCTGGAGACAAGTGTGTAACCAAGAGGATATGCTGGGACTTCAGGAGTATCTGATGCAACTTCAAAGTCGAGCAGATGATAACGGACCTAACTTTAGCACTTCTAAGTGCAAAGTAGTCCATGTGAAACATGCTGCAGACTAATGCTACAACTCAGGCGAATCCTGCCCAGAAGCATCCCGAGTTAAAAAAGATTTAAGGGCACTAGTACCCTACGATTTTAAGTATTACGCTAACTGTGACAAAAATGGCTTTCGAGCAAACGTTACACTGGCAACATTGAAGCGCTTTTTTGTTCATTTTTACAAAAGAATTTCCCACATAAACTTCAACAGTTTATTTAGTCGCAAACCGGAATAATGATAATGTTTACGTCCATATATTCATTTAATTTGTCACATGATGATGTACTTTTTAATAAAAAATAGATTATGCTGTGAATTTCAGTTCAGCTTTAGTTTTTTATTTGTCTCGTCTGATTGCGTCACTCTGGACATGCACTGCATGCTGGAGTGATATCCAAGTCATGATGAGCTTAGTCAAATCGCTTTTTTTAAGTGAACTGTCAATGAATGCTACTGGAGAACGTTTTGTTGCACTGTAAGCTATATAGTTTACAATGCATTGCTTTCATGCGTAAATGACTGTAGTCTTTAGTCTCAAAACAATATGATTTGTCTTCTGTTGGTTATGTCTTATTGGCTTGTAGTTCGTGTTGTAGTTTTATAGGCTGAATTATCTACGTTTAACTACTTTGAGTAATATGTCTGTGAAAATGTAATAAAAATTATAACACCTGCTTAGTTGAGTGCTCTTGGTTATCGTAAAATTCAGTTTAGTAGATATAATTATACTACTTGAAGCATGTAACGAAGCAGTTTAATGACTAGAGCTTCTCACGCATTTCCACTAGTGTTTTTAAGTTTCACAAATAGAAAACGATCGATGTGAGATCATGTATACATTGCAATGTCTATAGTTCTGGAAGCTGAAAGCTTAGAATTCGTACAAAACGAGAGGATGTTATATTGATGTATCATATTTTTCATATTCCCTTTAACACCTTGCATATCATCAATCCATTGTGTTTATAAATTACACATAAGACAGTGTTGATGCAGACATAT